GACCATTTCTGGCCAGCAACTTTCAGCGTCATTAAGCCGCTGCGCCACCGCGTCCCCAAACTTAACTTCCTTTACCAGATGGTAAACACATGGATGGACTTAATTACAGGGGTGATGGGTGCACCATTGGAAGATCTGAACGACCAGGCTGGGGACAAATCATCCTGGAAAAAAATCTATCTATATGGTCGGTCACTAATAGTCAACACCGACTTATTGGCATATAATCAATTAAGGAAAAAAAGGCAGGCAGTAATTTGAATTTGCATTCACCTTCTGTTTTGCTGTGTTTCAGGACAAGTCTTACTGGTAACTGCCTCAAGAAAGGATGGTGATCATGGAGCAGACATGGATTGAGCAATGACTTAGGCTTCTGGACCAGCTGAATTTATTTAACCAACTTGCTGCCCATAGCCCAAAGAAAGGTTCTGCCCATTATCTTGTTAAAACTGCCAGTCTGGTTAGTTTCTATACATGGAATATGGACTTTTTTTTTTTTAATCCCCAGCAGCAAAATATACTGCATCCAGCCCTGTCCTGATACTGGAATTTTTTTCCCCAGAAATTGTGTTTTATCACTGATACACCCTTTCTTGTCTATATGAATAAGAGTAACAAAACATTCTTCCAATTAAGCTCAGCTCTGCACAACTTTGTAAGACATGGGGGGTTTTTTTACATCAATATAAACAGTTCATAATTGCCTTCTTCCAGGAAGTTTTTTTCAGCTTCCCAGTCTAGCCCACAGCTCCTGGTTTCTCTGAAGGTCTCCCACCAGGCCCAGTGAAAGCTACATTAGGGAGAAATTCCAGCATATGCTACATGTATAGAAAGCCTAGGTTCAATCTTCACTGTCTCCAATTAGAAAGATCTATTTTTTAAGATTCTTGACAGTTGCTACCAACTAGAACAGCTGACATTGTATGAAGATTAGCTCCTTATATTTTCAAGTAAATTGCAGCCACTTTTGCAATTAAAGCTTTGCTCAATATATTGGTATAGGCTTTCACAGCCAGTATCTGTTGGGGAGTGTTGGGCTTCTGGCTTTAGTGACCATGGTCTAGACAACAGATTTCGTAATGTTTCACCCACAACTGTGGCTGGCATCTTCAGAGGCAGGCAACCAAGCAGGGATAGACTGGGCTACTGTAAGAACACCTGGCTATAAAGACCAGGACCCAGTCAATCCTTGCTCAGTTGCCTGAGGTCTGCATAGAGGACCACCTTGTCTCTGAAGATGCCAGCCAGCTGCCAGTGAAATGTCAGGAAATCTGTTGTCTAGACCATAGTCACTAAACCCTAAAGCCCAACACTGCTCAAAAACTTTGCTCACTTCGTCTTCCAAGGGAATGGAGGGGAAAAAGAAGACGAAGTTCAGCTTCGATAGAGATTAGGTTTGGTTTATATGTCTTTAACAGCTGCAGCTAAACGAAGCAGTCCTAAGATGCAGTGGTCCCCATTATTACATTTCCATGTTAGGAAAACGGTCTCCCTGGCGTCCGAGCGAGAACTCGACATTTGTGCCATTTGTGGGGATACCACAGCAGGCAGAATTCAGAGAAAACGTGGCAGCCTGCTTTCATCATGACTTCGACCTCCCGTCCGCAGGACAAGCAGAAGCCACTTCTGAAGATTGCGCCGAAAAGCAGCAACCATCCAATAGCAATAGGCCCGGAGAGAGTTTCTGCGCCGTGACCGGCAGCGGTCGCAGGCGGGCCTTTTCCGCACAACTTCCCGCGGGGAGCCCGCCCCGGCCGCGCCTGTTGGCAAGACACCATGACCTGCCGCGCGTTCGTGGGGCTTCGGGCCGCCGCCGCCGCCCCCCGGCTGTGGGAAGGAAGCAGCCGTAGCTGCAGTCGCCGTTGGAGCAGCGAGCCGGGCAGCCCTCAGCCGCGCGCGGTGCGGATCGGCTGCGCCTCAGGCTTCTGGGGAGACACGGCCGCCGCAGGTACTTCCGAGGAAGCAGCGCTAGGGGCAGGGTCGGCCGCAAAGCGCAGGCCCTTTTCTCTACGTCCGTCGGCAGGCAGCTCCTAGGGCCGCCTGTATGGCGAGACCTCCGCAAAGTGAACGTTTCGAAAAAGCGGGGGACAGAAAACGCCCTCCGCCCCACTCTCACGTGCAAAGGTTGGGGAGAGAAACCGCCGGCAATACAGAACAGGCTGGCTTTCGAATACACACCTACACGCATGCGCCTTAAGACCTTTCGCTTGCGTCCTCGATGATTCCGCCTCCTGACATAGCCACCTACATTTATGCCATCGTGAATCGGCCCGACTTTACGGTACTAAAAGTATCCCTAAGAAACCACTTTCGTATTCTTCTGTGTCACGCGCATTTCCACCATGGGCCCTCCGATGGGTCCCCTTCCGCAAACATTCCATTGCACTTTATTGTGACTGGCACCCTAAGTTGAATAAAAGAACTGGCGTGTTGAACTTTGGAAAAGCCAGAACTCAAATCTTTCCATAGCCCAGAACTTTCAGTCTAACTTTCTTCACATGCGTGATCTGAAAATAAACTGGAGTAATGCCTGCCCACTTTCATCTCTTGGAGCAGTTTGGGAGAGTTGTTGAAGGATTAATCATTTGCTTTGTATAATTCTTAAACCTCTGAAAGAGCGAATGTTCACCTTCAACGGGATGGTTTTCAGAGGGTGCAAAATAATTTGAACCCAGAAGGGAGGATCTGTAGAAGGGAGTCTAACGACACCGTGAGTAAACAAGAAGCAAAGCAAGAAGCAAAGCCGAAAGCGCCGTCCTTGTCCTTTTTAAATAACACGCTGGTGAATTCAGGAAACAGTAAAACGGGAGAAGGCAGTAATGTTGGAACTGTGTGTACAATATAAGCAAGTCAAACGACGTGCACGATGCAATTTTATAACCATCTTCCTAAGAATGAAAGGTGAAGTTCATAAGAATAATTTCTCAGGTTAGCGTGCACAAAATCTAATTGTGAAAGCCGATTGTCCTAGGCAAAACTCTTTAAGCCAGAGTTTTTCAAACTTGGCAGTTTTGAGATGTGTGGAGGTCAACTCCCAGAATAGGAATTCTGGGAATTCAGCTCCACACATCTTAAAGTTGCCAAGTTTGAAAAACTCTGGCTTTAAGCACCGAGGCTTACACCCAAAGAAGTGGATTGGTTGCAGCTAATAGCACATTTGATGGGGCGGGTATAAGCCCTGTTAAATCCCATCAGATTTACTAATAACATTCACAGGGCTAGGCTGTAAATTTGAGACAAAACTACTGGCATGTATCTTAATGAAAAGTCTCATGAATGTATTGCCGTCGCTACATCCACCTTGGAATTAAAATTACAAACCAGTCAGGAAGCCTTGAGCTTTGCCATTTGGGTTTTAAATATTAAATCCTCTCATGTGGGAAGGGGTATATGTACATCTATCCTGAATTACATTTTTATACTCATTCCATATAACACAGGGATGAGCAATTTTGGCCTTTATGTATTGAGAATTCAGCCATTTGTTATGGATGGTAGAAATTCTTTTTTATCGTGTGAAGGAATGCAAGTGATAAACTGTTGTTTAAGGGTAATGTCTAGATCTTTATATGTCCACATTAAGGTCCGTTTTCAGCACAGTATTAATGCTGTTTGTTTGATGAATGGCCACATTCCTGATTTGTTTTCTATTTGTAATACTTTTCTCTTGATTTTCTGTTATTAGTTCCTCAGCTGCTCTATGGGGGGAAGCTGGATTTCCTGGTTTTTGATTACCTTTCTGAAATTACAATGTCTTTACTAGCTAGTGCCAAAGCCAGATCTCCGGTAAGTAAATTTGCATTTTTTGGAAAACAAAAATTAGAAAGAATATCCAGTCTATTGAACTATGAACTATTAGAGTTGTAAGATTTCTTTAGCATATCTGTAATTGACCTGTTTGTTCAGAATTTTGGAAATGGTAGAACAGTAAAATTTGCAATAAATATATCAGTTATCTTAATTACTTCAATCTAAAATGCTTTTTCTCTGCAGCTGTAACTAGTATGTATTATGGTCTGTATTTGTAAATTATTCTTTAGCTCTTTCATTTCTTAAGGACAGCATTTATATAAGTTTCTCCCTCAACTGAACAATTCAGAAATATTCCTTGTGGAATCAAAATGCAAAAATCTATGCCCAAGTGAAAAATATGCTTAGGGCTTTAAGAAAGAAGAGTAAGACTGAATTCTAACAAAACCAGAGCCACTTATATCATTTCAAGGAAATTATTCCAATGTATTTTTGTTACATTGGAATAATTCCCTTGAAATGTTATAATGATATATAGTAAGTGATATATATGAAGTGATAAAATGATATAATTATTGTTTCAATGTATTTTTATTACAGAAAGCCAGTTTGGTGTAGTGGTTAAGACATCGGGCTAGAAACCAGGTGACTGTGAGTTCTAGTCCTGCCTAAGCACAAAGCCAGCTGGGCCAGTCACTCTCTCTCAGCCCTAGGAAGGATGCAATGGCAAACCACTTCTGAAAAATCTTGCCAAGAAAACTGCAGGGACTTATCCCAGCAGTTTTAGAGAATTGGACCCAATTGAATGGATTTTTAAAAAAGAATTATTACAGGAAATGTTATGGTGGAAACCAGATTCTCAACAGCAATTAATTTCACTGTTCAGAAATAATTAGCTGCAGAAGCCTCTGGTTTTCTACTAAGAAATGCCAGCCATAAAATGTTCTCTGGGTTTTGGAATGAATCTCTTTGAAATTGTAGTGTTAAATGCAAAAAAGGAATACCTAGAAATAGAGAAGATCTTTGCTGGTGATTTGGTATGTGACCTTCCCAGTTTAATTTCAGCCATTTCCCTACAAGTGACTTGCAGCACGTTTTGGAGTCATCCAGTCTTTGTACTGATATAGCAGTAATGAGCCCAGGCTTTTATATCATCTTAACAATGATGGGTAACATCATAAGAAGCTGTAAATCACTATAGGGGGAATGGCTCTGATGCTTTAGAATGAGAGTTACCAGCTTGAATATCGATCTTTAAATGGCTTCATGCATGCATAGGCCTGTGGAAATCAATACACAACAGTTCATTTAACTCTATTGGATTATCTGCCATTGAAAAAAGTGTTTTATTACATTGTGCAGGTTCAGGAATGTACTAAAGTTTGCAGAATAAGGGACTGTCTTCTTCCATTCTGCTTTCTTATGCATGCCCTAAAACCTCCCTGGAGCAAGGGTGTTTGAGATGGACTGATTGTAGGGAAGATGAATTTGTTCTGCTGGGAGATGATTTTTTAATTACTGGAATGATGCAATTTTATAAAATCTGCAGGGTATTGATATTATTAAGGTTTAATTTCAGCTGTCAGTTGCAGAACAAACTAGTGTGAAATACAGTACAGCTTTTCTTTTTTAAAAATGGAGATTTTGTTTTGGAAAAAAAATGGAAACTTTATAGCTGCTTTAACTGAGATGGGTTTTATGGCACTATAATGAACAACATGAAATTATATATTCTCTGATAAAAATGGTTGGATTTTTTTTTTTAATTTTAGGATTTGGGATACACTCCTGATTTTGTATCAACTGCAATGGCTCCTTATATAAAGGACATACATCGGAAAGGTATGATGGGGGCACTTTTATATTTTAAGCAGAAGTCATAATTTTAGATTATATTGATAATGAACTAAGAAATCACAATTACTCTTTTTCTCCCAATTTACATTTCTGAAATATTGTATTTAATTTAATTATCTGAAGATAGCTGTTATTACTGATGATGATTCAGTGGGAGAGGTATTCCAATATTTTGTAAAATGCTGATTTATTACACTTGGGATTTTCACTAAGTTTGGTACAACAATAACAGTTATGTTAGATACCTCTGAATCATTTAGCCTCCAGGTTCAGGATAGTCCATAATTGGGGTCCAGAATTTCTGCCAAGATGTTCCAGATTGGCTTCAGTTTGGCAGAACCGAAAGCTAGAACAAGGCCTGTGTGAATGTCACCCCCACTCCCCTCCTCCACATGGCCAGTGTCCCAACCTACCGGTTGATATCCCCTTTTCATTTCTTACCTCATATCCAGTCTGCCCACCCACTGATCTTCCATCAGCTTCCTTACCTCTTTGCTACCAAGCACTGGATATTCAAGCCACCATCCCACCCCTCCATCTTCCTTTTCTTAGTGCCCCAAGACACTGTTACCCAAGCATGTCCCATCCAAGCTTGCCACAAGCCCCCCTCATCTTTCAAATTCATTTTTCTTGCCTCCTAATTGCTACTCAAGCACAGCATACCCAAGCTACTGATCTACCATCTTATATTTCCAGCAGCTTTTTTTTCATACCTTCCTGCCACCACCATCATCCAAACGTGGCATATCCAAGCCACTTATTCATTCTTTATTCTTCCGTTGCCCCACTTCCTCCTGATGTCAAAATTGTTTTTTTTTTCTCCCAGATCCAGCTAAACACTTCCTCCTGGAACATGTGTTTTGTGGGTCCATGTCTGGTTGAAACACACATATCTCAGTTTGGACGCATACTTCCCCAAACTAGCTGTTCCATCCATGGGGCAGCTCATATATGGAACATTCTGTGTATCCGTGATGTGCCTGGTTGCTACCTTCTCTTTCCATAAAGCAGTTTGATTTATTCTCTGACTTGTTAATTCATAATTTTCCAGTTCAAATACAAGAAAGGATTTCTAACTTAATATAAGCTGGGATCTTTGTGTCAAATCTAGTTTTCTGATGGAAAGAAGAAGTGTGGAGTCCTTGGAGTTCTCTGAGCTTGGTTGTTTTCTTGCAAACATTTCGTTACCCGGCTAGGGAACATCTTTAGTGCCTGAGGATGTTACCTAGTCGGGTAACGAAACCTTTGCCTAGCTGGGTACAAAACATTTGCAAGAAAACAACCAGCTCAGAGAACCCCAAGGACTCCACAGTTCAACCCTGAGCTACACGTATTCTCTTCTGTTGGAAAGAAGAAAGTAGTAGGACCAAAGCTCTCAGTCCTAACAATTGTTTCTAAAATTCTCTTTCAATGTATAAAGAAAAATTCTGGGTGCAATCATGAGGTATATAAGTGACTATTTTTAGTCCAAACAGAACAATCTGTTACAACAATTTATAGTAACTTGATTGTTTGTTTGTTTGTTTATTTCTGCAATTTGTTTAGCTGCCCTTCTCAATCCAAGTGACTCTGGGCGGTGAACAATTTCAATAATTAAAACCATTAAAACAATTACAAATTATATATATAGGCAGCCGACAGTTCTCATAAAAATTATGTAAAAGGCAACAGTGCAACCAGGTAATGGGGCCCCTGACACTTTCAGGACCCCAGACCTGGACACATAGCCAGGTTTTTAAAGCCTTACGAAAGGCTAGCAGGGTTGGGGCCATCCTGAGCTCCAAAGGAAGAATGCTCCAGAGGGTAGGGGCTGCTGCTGAGAAGGCACTCCTTGTGGTCCCTGCCAGTCGACATTCCTTGGCTGATGGGATCTGCAGCATCCCCAATCTACTAGACCGAATTGGACGGGTAGAAACTATTGGGAGAAGACAGTCCCTTAGGTAACCCAGTCCCAAGCCATGCAGGGCTTTAAAGGTGACAACCAGCACCTTGAATTGTACCCAGAAACACATTGGGAACCAATGCAGCTCCCATAGTAGTGATGTTACATGTGCCGCATATCCAGCACCATTTATGCAGCCGCATTTTGCACCAGTTGAAGCTTCTTAATGCTCTTCAAGGGCAGCCCCATGTAGAGCATGTTGCAGTAATCCAAACGGGAGGTAATAAGGGTGTGAGTGACCGTGAGGAGGGCCTTCTGGTCCAGGAACAGGCACAACTTGCGCTCAACCTGAAGGTGTGCAAATTGTATACAAATATGTATATAATTTTACATATACTGTAACAGTCTGAGCAGCTTAATGAGAGAAACCAATTTACAGTAAACCTTTGATTTAATAGATTTCAGTTTAGCAGACTCTGAATTTAATAGATAAAATACCTTGGATACAAAGTTGTCTGGTGAATCAGGTTGGACAATCTTCACTACTTCTCAGAATGGATGTTCATTGTTAACAGGAAAATAGGTTTTCTTATGGATGAGAATGTTTTGGGGCACAAAAAATACAGTTTGCTATTTAATGGGCAATTGGCTTTAACAGACAACTGTTCTCACTAGTCTCTTAAATTAAGGGTTTGGTTGTATGTTTTAGGTATGTGTCCACTGTCATGAAGCTTTAATCTGGTTTAGGTGTTCGTGTTATCAGTAATGCTGGTGGAATGAATCCACTCGGATGTGCTGCTGCTCTTCACCAAGTTGCCAGAAATGCTGATGTTGACTTGAAGATAGCGGTTATTATTGGTGATGATTTGATGGGAGAGGTATTCCAATATTTTGTAAAATGCTGATTGATTACAGTTGGGAATTTCACTAAGTTTGGTACATTAAAAACAATTATGATCGTTATATACCTCTGAATCCTGATCAGTCATGGTATTTTCATTAAACTCTCATTCCCCAACTTGCTACCTTTTAGATGAGTTGTTACCACAATCACTGAAATTCCCCAATACAGAATATCAGGAGATTGTGGAAGACTACGTTAAATAATTTTTCATCAGCTATGCACAAACTCAATGAATGGTATGGTCCTAAATTCTGTTTACTTTTTAATAAAGCTAGATATACCATTAAGAAAGGGACTATAATTGATAACAGTAGAATCTTCTGCATGTGTACCTAGATGAGGTTTATTGGTAAGTCTGCGTATCACTGCAACTTAAATACCACCTGCAATAGCACTATGCTTTTTTGTGTTGAACTCCACTCCTTATCATCTCCACCTTTGTTAAGATGAATACAAGAGCCGATTGCAAACAATCTGACATGACTCAATATAATTTCTGCAATTTATTCCAATATCAATTGTGTATGAACTGCAAATGCATTGATATATTTATCAATAGCAACTACTATGCAAGCAAAATCAAATACAGTGGTACCTCGGGTCACGAACGCTTCTGTTCACGACCAATTCGGGTCACGAACAGCTCCGTTCACAAAATTTTGCCTCCATTTGTGAACAGATCGGAAGAGC